ATAATTGATTCTCTTTTTGTGTTGGAAAAACAAAGACAGCAAATAAAATTGCTGCAGGATTCTGTCTTATTCTGTCCCTTTTCTTGTTCATTTGTTTTTTTCCCCAGTAGGGCATATAACTGCTCTTTTTCAGTTAGATTTGCCCAAAAGGAGTGTCCTGTTCCTTGGCACTCCTTCACAGTTCTTTCAGAATAGAGCTGTAACTCAGACTGCACCTATACTGCTTCCTCATGCTTTCAGTCACATTTAGACAAGCACATCCCTCACCTCTCAGCCTCCGTTTGAGAAGTAAGGTATTGACTTAGCACACCAGAGCCCACTTGAGTGCTGCTGTGCTTCGTGCAGTAAGGAGCTAACCGTAGCTGTATTAAGATGAAAAAATGTGTGTGTAACTCATTCTGGGAAAATACCAGTTTGCAGTCTCTGTCAAATTAATTGCACTGTGTGCAAAGTGACCGGGGATAGATGGTATCAAATGAAACCCAAGCTAGGAACGATCCTGAAAATGCATTTTAAAAATTACAGCGATGTATATTGATGAAGCTGCAGCTCTCAGGCAAATACAGAACTTTTAACTTTGCAAACATGCACGGTGGAGGAATCTTTGCCTAAGCTTGAGAAAGGATAAGATGAGTGAACTTTGGTGCTTCCCCCACTAGCCTTAGGTGACCAGTAAGGGTCAGGGTAGCTCTTGTGCCAGTGTTTGAAGGGAATGAGGCAGGGGTGAGGGAGAAAAGAATTGCCTAGTAGACTTCAAGTATGTGCATGTTATTTTAGTCTTTACATTGGGGTGGGTTTTTTCTTTTGCCTACTGAGAGCAATGAGATATTGAATGGTATTAAATTGCATAGCTGATGTCAAATATGAATGGTTATTTAATCTTGTGAAGTAATGACTTTTTGTGAAGAAGTATCAGTGTGTGAAGGTGGCAGTCTTTGCTGGTGATTTGGAGATTTTCCTGGGTAAGTGCACGAGGCTTGGACAGGGTCACAGGTTAGACTTGCATTTTGTGGGTGAAGTGTATAGGAGGACTTGCAAGAGATTCACCTGATATGTTGCAACTTTCGTTATCAACCACTGTTTTCGGCAGAGATATCAGCTGTCTGGCATATGTACGAAAGTGAATACATGACATGCATTTTTATACTGTGTTTAGCTTATATTCTATACGCCTGCATGTGAGTGTAAGCAGCTACTTGGCTCTAGTCCACAGTCTTGCCACTGTGCAAATCCTAGAATGTAAATAAGACTAGTTGCTAACCTTAAAAAAACAAAGTAGTATTTTTAAAAGTTCTCAGGCCAAACAGTCCTCTAATCATAACTGCTCTGCTCAGCTGATTTTCAGGAGTCAGTTTGGTTGAAAGGAACTGTAGCGTATGATGTCTGAAGGCAATTGGAAGGATGTATTATTCACATGTTCTGTTTAGCAGATGATAATGATGGTCTGTAGTCTATCAACTGTTTCCTCATGGGTTTCTTGTTTTCTTTCTCACAATTAAAATAACAGTAGTTCTGCAACGGAACAGAAGTGGCTATATAGTGGCTATATGGCCTTTGTGTTCCTTGGCAGAGGCTGACACACTGTCTGTGAATCTGAACGAGTTCAAAAGAAGTCACCATGAACCGAATGATTTTTCAGTGTTGTTTTTTTTTCTTACGAAGCTTGAGCTAATGGGTTGAAAGGTGTTCTGAGTGCCTGGGTAGTGCTGTAGTTTGAAGTTGTATTTCTATGGGCTAAGAGGTCGTATTTCAAACTTATTTTCAATAAGCTATATTTTTTTTCCTAAACTATTACTCTTGTTTGTGGAGTGCTGCAGCAATTTCTGTTCTTTTCAATCCTATATTAGGTACATTTTTAAGGACCTAGGTAGCTGGGTGTCGTGCTTTATGATTTTTCCGGTTAACTGAAGTACACTTTTGGGTTTATGTTCTGTGGTTATTATTTTCGCTTTTGAATAGTATCAGAGGTCAGAGGTTGTTTCAAGTAGGCAATGTGTCATTCCCCCCCCCCCCCCCCCCCCACAATACACCACAACATAGTACAAAGCCTACTCAGGCTCTGGAGAAATCTCAGCATAACATAACTTGATTGAGTTTTAATCTTACGGTTTGTAAAATTTAGATCTTTATAGATTGTGCCTGTTCTGATCTTAGATCTATTTTATGTATGGGATGAATATTTATTGCATTGTATAAAGTAGCAATTGTGTGAAGAGGCAATAGTAAACTAAGGCAAACTAAAGAAAATCTGTACTCAGATGTATAGGTAATATGTAAATAACTGTTCTTTCTACTAAAAATTGCTTACATTTCTTCAGAAGAATCTGATTTTTATATTTTGTCTTGTCCTAAAGATTTGTTGGAGAAATTCTGGAAAGAAGGAAGTGTTTGTCTCGGTTATGATTGATTACAGAGAGAACCACGATAACGCATTAATGGCATTAACATGCTCAGAAGAGCTGAAAGATACAGAGGTATTAGGCTTTGCTAGTTATGGCTACAGCTTATTAAAAATAGTTATGACGCCTTGTGGAAAATACTTAGCATTATTGTTGTTACGTTCTAGATTAAGTATTTGTTGACTCGTAAAGCTGCAGTGAGAAACCAAGAGAAAAGAAAGGACAGTGATGATAATGCTGGCGCTTAGCAATCACTACTTGTATTCTGCCAAGACAGCAATATGTCTAATTAAAAAACCCAACATACCGTAGGCCATAAAGGACCGTCCCATCTGGATGGAGTCGAATCATTCGATTTTTCACTGTCACCCCATGGACAAATGACTTCTTGTCATTTTGGAAATAAGTGTCAGGCACCCAGAGCTGGTCAGCCACTCTGTTGTCCAGTGTTAGGTTTAAAGGTATTCCAGAATAGGAGAGCCTTTTATCCCTCCAGGACTGCTGGAAGTACATGGTGAGGGTGTAGTCCTAGGGGGGAAAAAAAAGAAGTTGAAGGTCTCTGTGTTTTGCCCAATGGTTAACTTAACAGCAGATTATTTTTTTAGATAACTTTTAGTTCAATAACTAAATATCAGTAGCACAGTAAGAAATGTAAGGATTGTTAAGATGTCATTAACCATGACCATGAGTCTTGGCCTGTTCATGTTGGTGTTGAACTTCATGCTACTCGCTAATGGCAGAGTGACCTCCTTCCCTCCGCCCTATAGACTTTCAAAATCTCTCATGCCAAAGGGAATACATGGAACGCATGGACTGACATCAGGCTCTCCAGTCCATAGATCTCACTCTACACATTTTTTAAAAAATTTTTCTTTAACCTGAAGAGAGGAGGGGTCTAGCTGACCTTGGTCAAACAGCAATGCATACCACTGGGGACTCGCTTTTGATATTCTCTCTCTTCTTCCTGAAAGACCCCCACCACAACCCAGGGAAGGCCACCTGTCCCTGTAGCTTCTGAGAAGGAGCAAATTTTATCTGAGAAGATGAGAGGAATAACTTTTCATTTTATACTAAGGTTGCCACTGTAATTCGCTTTTGGTAGTTGGGCACGTATCACTTTAGCCCAGGGAATGCTGTGCTTTCTGTCCTTGGGAATCAAAAGTTACTGCCTAGAAAATGAACATCTTATACTGACTGTCACATTGTGGCTCAGGGGATTGATTGTTTATGCAGTCTTTCAGTTTTCCACTTGGCCTGAAAATAAATTATTTTAAAAGGCTTCTGGCTTCATTTTTCCCTCACCTCTTTATCTCTGAGAATTTGGTGATTTTTAAAGACAGTCCATTTTTGTTTTAAATGGAAAAGCCCATGTACTTTGTATGTGATGGAGTTCTTAAAAGATGACAAGAACAGCAATATGTGGACTACTAGTTTTCTCCTTCTCTTCTCTCCTGGCCTCGTTTCCAAGACGGAGATTGCTTTGTCACACATCTAGCTGTAGAAGTACGGCAAAATTACGTAGATTATCAAAAGGGTTGGTCAGGGATAATATTTCCTCTTATTTTAGGGAAAGCCTTACCTCTGTCATCCTCACAGACCCTAATTTGGACTGTAATTTTTGAAGAAATAAAGAACATAAAAGCTCTCTGATGTGATTCTGCTCTCTTCATCTTCAGTGGCCTCTTAAGAAGTATAGTTACCATGAAAACCAAAGCATTGTTGTTATCTTTCAAAAAGACTTTCTGCCTGAACATTGCATCTAGTAGAGTGATAAACCACCAGTAACAGAAGTTGAAAATACTGTTCCTGCTTACACTGGGCCTGTAGTGACTGCGTTGTGCAGAGGAAGTTGTACAGCTGCATGCTTTGTCTTATGCATTAGCACAGCTATATCGGCTCTGAGCACAGATTTGCAAGAATTTCAAAGGCATACACTTTTCCAGGTCTTCAAGGCTGATGGTTACCCACGACAGAGCAAAGAGACGGCATACCATAGGCCTAAGTCTTCTTCCGGACTCCCCAAAATTAGGAGGAATTTGCTTTTCAGACCACACAGGTCAAGCCTGGAATTAAAAAGATCTCTGGGGAGAGAGCCCCTGTTTATTTCTAACGTTGCCTTAGAAGAGTTTAGTCACTGAAGGTGTATGGCTGAACTCTGACCATCCGTGCTTGACCCAACATGGAGAAACCTGAGGTGGGAAGAGAGATCTACTCTACCTCTACAGGCATCTTCAAGTTGGGGAGTCAAGAATGTTTAACCTGTGACCAAAGAGCAAAGTTTTATGTCACTGTTGCAGATGTACCTGGATGGGTGGAGTGTTTGGCATCTCAACTGCTGCTGAGTTAACAGCCAAATGTGCTGTTAATTTAAGTCACCATCCATTTCACTTTCTGTTTCAAGTGTTTGAACTTCAGTGGCTGAGGAATAGGATTAATATTACTCGTTCTGTCACTTCTCTGACAGCAGTAGTCACAGACAGATTGGTGGAGAGACTAGAGTAAGCATCTGTTAAACCTTCTCAGAACTACCAGATCTTGTCTGGAGGCTGCATCTTGGGAGAGCAGGGTAAATTTGGTCACGAGGCTCCCTGTGTGTCTGGGGAGAGAGGTAACTCATGGGACCCACTGTTACTGACTCATTTTGCCTACCTGCGCTGAGGAAAGCTGAGGGGACTCACGGCAGAGCATAACAAAAAAGCATTCCGTGTCTCTTATGTTTCCTCTAGAAATCTGAGGAGCGAAAGGACGGAGGGAGGAAAGAACGTGGATGCGATGTTGCTCTGTCTGCTATTGCTGAAGGGACTGTCAGGCCGAGAGGTATGTGTGACAGAAGTAACATAGTAAGGGGTACACTGTTCTCTGCTGAAAAGGTGATTTTTAAATGCTGGCATGGAGAAGCATGAATGTGCTTGAGGAGGCATGTTCCTGAAAATGGAATGTACAATTTGAATAAAGTTGGGTTAGAAGCAGACATTCGGAGATTAAATCCAAGATGTCAATTGGGGGTGGGGGGGGACGGGATGGAACTCGTTTCCCACCAAGATAAATGTTGTAATTTCAAAAGTTTAACTTTAGCTCTGCTATTGTCTTGTATTTCTCTCAGGCTTGGCTCTTGTTCAGAAGAGGACGCAAAGGAAAACGTGATTTAAAGCTAAGTAAAACCGCAATGAAAAATGTGCGGAGTGAATTTGAGAAATGGAGCAGGATATAAATCCCGTTTCTTCTGAGAGAGTAGAGACCGTCTGATTTTATTGATTAATGTTTTCCATGGAAGGAGTGGTAGAATGATGAACATGGGAGAGTGGTAAGTGTTTGCTACTTTGTTTTTCATAGTTTTCGGTTAACATTTTTGAAATCTTAGTACTTCTGTGCCTTCCCACTGTGTGAAACGAAATATCATTTGAGGAAACAGCATATAGTGATGTGGACAGAGCACCAGGCTGCTGATATGTCAGCTAGCTTGTGGAGACACATGCTGGATAATTTTATATGGTACGACATCTCTGTATTGGGCTAGACCCAAGATTAGTTTTTTTTCAGATCAGATTGATTACAGGTTGTAAACACTGTTGATACTTCAATGTGTAAAGTTTCTTCAGAGCTACAGTTATTTCTGGCTACTTGCTCAGGACCTGATCTACAAATCATTTGAGCTGTAGCAAGACTCTTGCTGCATGTAGTGGGCTTTAAGTCCTTTGAAGTTGCAGCAAGCTGAAGGTAGGAATTGTTTTTTCTTGTTGTTTGTTTTTGTTTTTTAGAAGCCTCATTAGTGTTTTGACTGTATTGTTTTTGCAGAGCGTTGTGACTTTCCTGCTTTTGCACCATCAGCCTTTTGGAGAACTAGATTAGCTAAGTAGGTACCCTAGTATTTTGGGTTTTTGAGTATGTCATGTAGTTGCAAAGAGATGTCAAATGCACATAATGTTTAATAGCAGTTTTAGTAGTAGAAATTGTAATCATAATGCATATGAGAATATAAATTACAACTGACAATAAGCTGTCTCTTAGTCTAGCCATAATCAATATGTTTGAAATTCATTAGTCCATAGGACGCAACATTTCAACTGCACTGTGTAAGAAAAAACTTTTTCATTGTTTCATAATGTAGGCATGTAATCCAAAATCATCTTGTGGAAGTAGAAATACAGGTTACTGCTGTGGGTTAGATGCAGGTTACGGTAGCCATCCTTTATTCTGTACTATAATCAATATTTTGATCAGTTAGGTATGTCAACTTAATTGGTTTTTTTTTGCTGTTCTGTATGAAGAAATGGGTTTGCTATTTTTCCAGCATTTTCTTTTTAATTACAGTGGGGAATTAATATAAACAATTATCTCCTTTGTGACTTCACGTTGTCACAGGGCATAAAGTTATACTTTGATGATACTGCAAGCAGTCTTGCAATGGAAATCTTGAATTTCCTGCCTCCCTTATGACTGTGATCCTGAAACTAACTCATAAGGAGCCGTAAGATGGAAATGGTATTTATATTTCTATTTTACAATATTTCTTTTCAGTCAGGTTCACAAATAACTACAACAAAATCAGCCAACAATAAGTCAGAAGGTGAATTTGGCAAATTGTTCCAGTGTTGGCCTACTACATTTTAAACTGTGTAGTGTACCATGTATTCTACCTTTTTAATTAGTAAGGTTTGGTGTGAGGTTATAATGTAATAATCAAGTGTGACATTTGGAAATTCAGACGTGATATGACAAATATTGTTTGTGGTCCAGAAGAAATCAGTGTGATAGTGCAATCTAGAAATTCTTGAAGTTATAATCTCTTCTCAGAGAGATATTTGTAGTGATGTTTCAGACTGATAATAGTTAATGACTAAGTTCTGTGTTCTGATAAAGTGGAACAAATCGAGTGTTGTTGTAATTAGAAAACAATCAAATTTGAGCTGGAAAGGAGAACAGAAAGGATATTGGAAGATGAAGGAGATGGAAAGATAGTGGATAATAATAAACCAGAGAGTCCCTAGGATAACTATGTTACCCAGTTTTTGTGATTTGAGAGCTAGAATTGGCATTCTAAAATGCTGGATTTATGAAAGCTCTCTGCGGAACTTCCTACTGATAGAGTCCTTAGCTTGGCATTGTTTCAAAAGTTTAAATCACAAATTTGTCCTGTAAACAGATTTTCCCTTAGTAATGATAGCTAAAACATTCTAGTATTGGTACTACAACTAGCTGCTTGAAGAATCTAGCAATGATTAAACAAGAAGCGTTGACAAGTATAAACAGCTATAGCCGGGTCATACTAAAAAGGATAGAAACTTTTAAGAATCCATTTTTGTCACAGTGGAAGGAGTTCCTCTTAGTTATCTTTACTGTCTGATGATCTGGACTTATAAGATCATTTTAAGATTTAAATTTTGAGGTCACTGCTTGATAAGGTATGCGTCTTTCCTAAGAGCTCGATGTATTTTCATCAGATTCTTATCTTGCGAGTATGCTATTTGTATATGTATGCAGATACGTCACTGATGTGTATCCCCTTGGCAAAAAATGATCAG